ATTTTGGTGTGAGTTCTTGTCTTCCGATGGATACAGAAATCCAAAGGGATACAGGAGAAACCAGAGTTCGCACCACTTTAATCTAGACGTGAGTATGTGTAATCAAATAGCGACGAGTGAAATTAGGAAATAATTTCAAGTGCGTTTTGTCAAAATTCTGATAACTTTGATGATGTGTAATCAAATAGCGACGAGTGAAATTAGGAAATAATTTCACGCGCGCTTTGTCAAAATTCTGATGATTTCCTGAGCCTTTAGGCGAGGGAAATTATCAGAATTTGGACAAAACGCAATTGAAATCATTTCCTAATTTCACGAGAAAACCATTTGATTACCTTTTAAGATCGTGGGTGACAAATTACGTTCACAACCGTAATTGTTTTTACTGGTTTATTCTATCGAAAACCGAGAACATGAAGTAGAATATAGTTTTCGTTTAAAGCATACATTACTGTTAAAGTTCGTAATTTTCTGAGTTTCTTCACAAAAAATACCTTTCGAATTCTTCGTGCCTGTTAATAATTTTCGGCCTCTTCTTTTAATTTCATAACTTCTTCAAGGGTCACCGTCTTAAACCTCGACCCAATCTTGGCTCTGATCGAGATACAAGAGATGTTGCCATAGCAATTTTGTAATTTCACATGTGAAATTAAAATTAACGCTGATATTTCGCACCAAAAGTAAGGAGTAATTTGTCACTTATGATGTTATACATATTCCTTCGTGGATATATTCTTTCTACTTGCATATTTCTCTCATTTTTATCATCATAGATATTATTAATTTGATTTAGTAGAATGAGTTCGGTGATGGAAGAATTTTTGTCAAAGAAGAATTCTACTACCCCACACCGGCACAGCTTCACGAATTCATCTTTTCTTTAAGCTCTAGAAATCTTGTCTTATTCGTTACCTTGCACATCGATCATTTCTGTTTATATCGTTTCAGTCACCTTGTTCATCATATCCTTGCTACAATGGAGGCGCGTGTGAGGCAAACTACAGAGACAATACATTTGAATGCATCTGTGAGAGCGGTTTCACTGGAGAGTATTGCGAAAAAGGGAACACTGTTAAGTATAGTGGTAATAAATGGGTGATGATAACACATGCACTAGCTCACTTTAAAACTTTAAAGGCCCATTTTCCATCCGAGATCCTTTGCAGTCGTTTGTTTTTGTTTTGGAATCGCGCTATTGTTAAATGGCGAACTCTGATAGTCATTCGCAAACACTATGGGCCTTTAAGTGAAAAAAAACTTTCCACATGAGCAACTGAGGAATTTATCTTCATCTAAATGTGATTTTGACGATCTGTTTTTTTTTTAGCCAGTTTTTATCTGCTAACTCATACAATATTTGTTTCCTTACAGCATTGAAGTCATGTAAAGATATTTATGACGTTCACAAGTAAGTCGTGTGAATTTTCATAATCACCACAGAAACAGTGAGGAATGAGACAAAAAAAACAACGCCCACATCACTATCATTGCTTGAATCTTCTTAGTCTTTATCATTATTGGTGTCAACATCACTATGATCCCTACCATCACTAGCATCTCCGTTAACATCATCAATACTATTATTTTCATCATTATTACTATAATTATCATTGCCAATATTTATTATTAATATTTGTGATAGCATAACAATTATTATTAAGTTTAAAACTCTGTCCGTTACAGGCTTAACGTGAGTAAGTTGGTCCCTCTGATCATCAGCGAGAAAACAGTCTCCATTCTCTGTCAGATGGGGGATTTTGGATGTGGAGATGGAGGTTGGACGC